TGAAATTCTAAAAAAAAATAGCAGAGCTTTATAAAAATATACACTTATCTTAATCAATAAAACCATATTATTTTATTTGGAATCAAGCTATTTCTTTCTGTAAATGATTCCTTACTGAGCCACATTACTGAGCCAGTGACATGCATGTCACGTCTAAATCTCCATTTTTCCATCTCGTTTTATATAACATTATTATTCTACAGCTTTTCGTGATTCCCCATAAACATTTTACTGATCTTATACCTTCGAAATTTATTGACTGAACCTCTGGGAATACAAGTCTATAATTGCGTTCTAACTTCCTTGACATTCTTAAAGTAAATAAGCATGTACCTACCTCCAATAAATTCCCTGACCGTACTTCTTCGTAAAAATTGGAAGGAAGTTCATACATATATTTTATGGGATCTTTCTTAAACATGGGTATGAATAGTTGTCTTTTCCATATTTTTCTAATCGTAAAGAAGAAATTCAAATTTGATAGTCTATCCGCATAATCAATCAGATAATTTAATTAATATGTTACACGATATCAATGGGGCTGTGCAACGAAATTATTTTTAGGATTTCAAAATTTCGATGCGTGCGACCATAATTATGCATGTTTATTTGTGTGATTAACCTAATTCGATTAATTAGCCCATGTACATTTATTTTTTCTTTGTAATGGGATTGTTTTGGCGTAAATACTAACTTTCTTCCACTTTATTATACCCATTCTATAGATCCAAAAGAAGATGTAGAGAGATAAACGAAAACGTTTAAAAGGACAGTATAATAAATTTATTATTACCTATGTCGCTCTATATTGATCTATTTTGCATTGCGATTTTCTAGTATAACACCAAAACTAAAAATTACTTTTTTTTACAAATCTTATTACAACATGTCAAAGACCTTAGCTGGAAAAATTTTTGAGTTTCTCACCTCCTCATCATTAGAACATATTACCGCCTTTTCAATTGTTTATCAAGCTATGGAAGAAGACCCATGGATTCAACGAGATATTTTAAGAAATACAGTAATCAACGCTGTTAATTTGGCAACGGATTCATATTCTAATGATATTATGGCACAAAACAAAATTCTTACTGTTTCTGCACAGGTTAGTGATAAAATATAAAAAATATTTATTAAAGCAGATGATGAATGGCGCTTTTTCCAATAAGCCTTTTAAATTCGTGAGACTCTACCTGTGGGGCTTCCTATTCAATGTGATATTTTAGATTCAACTCTAAAAATCACAAGGTTGCTCTGGGTATTCGATGCCTGCTAGTCCCAAATTCAACTTCGCCAACGCATGGGGATACTCTGGTTTTTGTCTTGCAAGTTTTAAAAGCTTATATGTAGAAAACAGAGTTACTTCCAATGCGTAGGCCACGCAGAGATGGTAACTTTGTATATATCTCTGATGATACGAGCTCGTAATTTATTATTACAAACTATTTACATATTTTTAAAAAAGCTAATATAATATTTTTTTTTGCGCCAGTTTGATATTGCTTTCGAAGGTGTATGTAGCCTTCGTGATATAGAAGTGGCAAAAGAAGTCGAACAGATTAATAATGAACAAATTAAGAATAATATGAGGGAAATGAAAAGAAAACTTAAGGTAATAAATATCAGATTTTCTTATAGCTTTGTTGGAGTTATATTCATGTGAATACTTACATCTAAATCTGAAAATATTATTTTAGGGAAAATCATCACCACTCGCTATAGAAATTTATAATTATTTAGATAATGTTGAAGTTGATAATTTAGGATGGTGGGATCCGTTAGCCAGTCAAGTAATTAGTGATGATTCAGATTTGGTGCTGAATTTACCCAGAAATGTTTATCACAATTTTATGGAACCTTTACGTCGTATGAAAATTGAAGCACCGTCCAGTATTAAGGAAATATGTTATGCATTTGTAGAAGGTTTCGATAAAGATGAACCTGAAATTTTACAACAAAAATGGCATCGTAATTGCACTTGGAGAGAAACAAACGAAGAATTGGCTGATATAACAACTGGAATTTTAGAATCTTTAAACATTATCTGGAGAAACCCTGCATTTGAAGCTCAATATGCGAAAACACAAAGTGAAGGAACTTATGTAACAGATGTAATTATTCCTTTGCTTCACATGTCATTAAAAAAACTTCCGATTAGGAATACTGCCTTTATTAGCATCTGAGATTTTTTTTTCTTATAGTTATATTACTATTATATTTTTTTTTTTCTCTATTATATTTTTTTTTTAGTCTTATAATTTATTTTTAATTTAGTGCGGAACGTCAAAGTAAAGCCAGTGCTGATAGAAAAGGGGATGGAAAACAGGGTAAACGTCCAGATATAATGTTTATAGAAGAATATAGAGGTAAGTTATACGAGCTCATATTTGTAGAATGTTCCCGCCTAGTATGTCCTGAACAAAAAAAAAATAACGATAACATAAAACTATGGCGGGAAATGAACGATGGACTTTACTGGGTTTATAGTGGATGTAGACCTGATAAAAATGAATTTAGTATCATCGGAATTCAGATAGCTGGGGATATGTTACATTTTAAGGGTAGGGGGAATCACGTGTCAATTTATATGTAGATCGGCGGCTCAAAATTTTGAATTGTACAAGTTACATATATAGTAAAATCACACGAAACGCGTCCAAATCAGTTCAAAATTTTTGTGAATGTAGATTATAAACCCCTTTAATTTCTTGCAAAATTTCAAGCAAAATAATTTAGTAAAAACCTTTAATTTCTTCAAAAAACCATACTAATCCCATAGTAACCGATACTAATCCCATAGTAAAAGGTATTATTCCATTAATATAAGTTATTCACTCCGAATTATTACTAGTTTAAAGTTACTTACTACTTAGTAAAGTTTAATTTACTTAGTAAAAGCTGCTTACTTCTCAGTATTACTTGGAGAAATACACTCACCTGCCAAAAGTATCTGGACAAAATGTAGATCATGTAAATTTCCGTGACATTTCTGGGTGTTTTACACAAAAATACTCGAAAACTAGCAAGAAAACGTGGCTTTTTGTCCTAAGTAACTGCACTTCAAATGTTCGAAATTGCATATTTCCATTAATATTTATAATC